AACCCTAACTATTCTATGATTCTATGTGCAAATAGTAACAGAAAAGGAGAAAGAAGGTTGAAGGATGTCCTAATACTTAGAATTTCTTGGATTTTTTATTGTACTTTCAAAAGAAGTGCCCTCGTACAAGTTAGGTATTGCCTCAAATATGAAAACTTTCCAGTTTTAAAACCAAACTGCTTCTGAACCGTTGTCCCTGAAGGTGTTTCACCAACAAAGTCTTCTGTTCCATCCGTCTAGCATCTTTGTACCTTTAAGAGTGCTCTGAAATTCAGAAGGGTAAATCAGGATATAAGTAATTATTTGTGTTTTAGCATTATTTATGTTCTGGATAGATACTTTGTGTTCACGTACTGCAGGAATGTAGTTACAAGTATCTAAGACTTGTGCTGAAAACATTGGGGGGCACGGGTTAATTTCTTATAGAGGGCTTTATTTGGCAACTCATTTCCAAAATCCAGTCTACTTCACAAGGTCTGTTTTCACAGATCATTTAGTATTCAGAATCTGCTTCTTACTACAAATGGTTAAAATAAATAACTTTTATCTGTGGAAAAAACATGACAAATATTGATGATTAAATTTATGTAGTGGCAAATACTTTAGTTTTGTTTTCCCTCAAGTTCAGTGTAACAGACACTAGATTGAATGCATGTTCACCCCCAGTAATCTGAATAGCACTTCCCACAGGTGAAGAGTGGGCACCCACTCAGGCTGCAGAATTATTCCTCTCCTGTTGAGTGTGTGAATGAGGTTTAATCACTCGCTGAGGGGGGTTCTTGGGTACTGATTTGTAGAACTCGTTAAGGACTTGCCAACAAAGTTGAAGTTGACAAGCAGGTATTCTTTATTGCAGCGCTGGGAGACACAGGGGATATCTCCTCCTAATGTGTGTCCCAATCATCAAACAGACTGTGATTATATTGTTGCTTAACATACATATTCATTACATTTCCAACAAACATCATACATATTCATTAGTTGTCCGAGAATCGTTATGCATAATTCCATGCATATTTTCGCATGCGCATAACAACGTGATAGTGGTCTTTGATGGTCGTTTTACTTCTTCCAGCACTCTTCATCACTTGGCTGTTCCTTGAACTTTTGTTCTGGAAGTCTTTGAAGCATGTGCAGTAGATAAATGCTTACACCAGCTTAATTAGTTCACTAATACTACTGTATTTCTCCTTGTCCTTCTACTTACCAGTTACCTTTGCTGTGGTACCTCCTAAACATCTGCTAGTTTCAGATACTCTTTAGCTACAGTCCTGTTTTGGTTACAATAAATATTGTACAAAGGTCATAAGGTTCTAAAGCTATGTCAGCTACAACAATTTGTCTTATACAATGACCCTTATTATGTTCTTTTGGTTGGGCTTTTTTTAGGTTGGAAAGTATTGTTGTTATGTACAAAGCCACCAAGCTTAAAGTTACTTAAAACTGAATCTTCTTATTTATGAAGGATTATATTTCATTTTGTACTTCCTTGTCTCAGTACATTGGTACCCTCTGTAAGACACGTGCTCCGGAGTAGTGTCCATGTGCCATCTGTCTCTGCTGCTGACCAATCTTGGTCAAGTGCACCCCAATTACATGTAACAGTGGAGCCTTCAGACTTACTCTGGCTGCAGAAAATCATCTTTTCATTCCAGCTGCTTTGCTCTGGGTTTTTGAGTTTGGTTTGCCCTCTAGTTTTCTATTTGTTTATGGGCTGCCTCAGTTATTTGTATAAGAACTTTGGTGTCTACAGTTCTCCAGTGTATACAGATTCTGTTCTTTACACTTGTTCTGCTGAAATGTTGCATAAGACCATAAAACTGAAAATAATTTTGTGCCTTCTTAAGTCAAAATTCCAGCAAGCAAAATGCTCTGCTCTTGATTTTTATTTATTTCTCTGAAATACTTGAATGCCAAAAGCTTTGCTCCGTTGTGCAGAAGCTATACAGCATAGCAACTATTTCATCCACAGCTCTGAGGCTGCTGTGCAGCCTTCTTTGTACATTGGCTCTACCCTGACTATATGGATGCACCTTTCTAGGTAGGGCCTGCAGCTTTGCTTGGAATCAATAAATGAGCTCTTTGATCTAAAACTAGTGCAGGAAGAAATGCCTGTTTTCATATCCTTTTATCCTGAGCACTGCAAACTGCTGGGTGAGCTGAAGTCTTTGATTAATCTCCTTGTATAATTCTTTTTAATAGGAGGGAATATGTCTTTCTTCCACTTGAATAAACCAATGGTTGAAGGACTTCTAAAAGTGTGCTTTTCTTTGACTTAAGGGCTTTTTATGAATCTGTGCCTTCCTTGTGGGTGAAAGCACAGACCCAAGAATAGTGGTCTATCCACAGTGTGTATCTTTAGGGAAGAGCAATTACAGGTAAGTAATTTTCTATTCCTGATTTGGGAAATTGGATTTTCTTTTTATGTTAGACATAGTAGTCTATATAACAGTCTCCCAAAAGAAAAGTTACATTTCTCAAAGCATTTAAGCATAGTAATTTAACAAATGTGTATGCATTTTGCATAGTAGCTTGTCAGCTGGTACATCAGATGAGAATCTACTTGTACACCAGAGTTACTTAGTGACATTTTAAGCTTTTCTACAATAGACAAGCCATTATTTTTGCTTTAATTTGCATCTCTATAGAAAAACTTATTTGTACCACTTAATTTTAAAAATTATGACCTGCTACAGTATGGGTAATTATCACTATTTCAAATATGGTTATGTTCATTTTTAGGAACCAGTTGAAAAAGATGTGCAGGAAAAACCACCCAAAGAAGTGGCTGAAGTTACTACAGACAAGCACTCTTCCAAGCCAGAGGTGAGACCACTGGTGAAGCTTTGATTCTAGGTCGAGTTAAAGAAGGCAACACAGAAACATCATGTTTTAATTAATCATGGATATGTTTGCTGAACTAAAGATTTAAAGCCTTACTGTATATAAGGAAGAAGCCTTTTGCTGGCTGATGAACATTCCTAGATCTTATTTCATAACACTTCTCCTGAAGGTATCGGAAGAAATCACTGAGGGACATGTAGGCTTCTACTGCAATTTGGTAAAAATAGTGTTCTGAAAATTCAGTTTACTTGTGTTGGTTATGCCATGTGTCAGTTCTAGAAGACTGACCTTTAAACTATATTATGTTTTAGCACAGGAATGACTAACACATTCAAAACGATTTTCATTTCAAAATTCCATATTTTTATTAAAGCACACAGGTCACTATAGCACATCTTTAGATCTCAAACCCCTGAAACTGAAAGGGCTGTTCCTTTGGGTGTTATGTGGAGCTGCACAACTAAACGGTTGTTGAAGATCCAGCCTCCACTCAGGTTTTGCCTGGTGAGACCTTAACCTTCACTTTTCAATATTGAAAGGCCTGGAGGTAATTTTACTGAAATGCCACATTTTGGTCAGCACAGAACAGTTACTGTGGTTCTAATTCCCCCAAGACTGCCCCAAATGTATGTTTTATTTGATAGGTACTTAGGTCTGTCATACAACACTGCAGACTTAGTTCAGTCTGAGGCTATCTATCCCAAAGCAATTCAGACCTTGTAAAGATAAATAAAATGTTGGAATTAAAATATATTTTAACTTCTCTGTATGGATTTAACAATTTACCTGAATTTGACAATCCAGCAAGAAGATTTATTTTTTCATCATACATGGTCTTTGTTAGCTTATTTATAATCTGATCCAGCTCCTTTCTCCATAGACAATACTGAATGCGAGGCAGCTGATTTCATCACAATTTTTGTATGAAAGAAAAGAAAAAATATAAACAAAAGAGAAAGGCTGGTGCATCTACAAATAGATGGAAACTGCCAGTTAACACTAATGATTTTTTAAGTTCTTTTAAAGTTTTTTCTTTAAGAAAGCAAACACAAGTGTTAGCCTGACTTCAGCATCTGGTAGTATCTTACCTATTCTAACACAGTATTTAAATTCCTTTTTTTCTCTAACTCAAACCAGTCAGGTTTGTCAGAAGCTAACAAAGTTGAACAGTTAAGTTGAAAAGTGCTGTGGAAGTCCTGCTAAGAAGTGCCACTGTGCCACTGCAGAAGGTCTCTGGCTTGAGTACCAGAAACCTCCCACCAACATTCATCTAGTGTTTTTCTCCTTTCAGTTCTCAGTTGCAATTCTTATTTTTATCTATACATCTCATTGAAAAGACTTCTTCTGTTTGCATCTTCCACAATGTTCTTTTGAAGTTAAAAAGTTACTAAGAAAGGGTTGAAGTGCAGCTCAATCATATCATAGAAGCTGTTTGACCACAAAGAGCACCAGTTGTCTCAGCAATGAAAACCAATACTTGGATGCGCATAAAGAGTTGAAATAAGAGTTACAGTCTCTCTGGAGTAGGTGAGCGTTTTCTCTACAGATCCAGCTGAGGTCTGCAATATCCTATTGCATACTTCACCAGGTGCATAGTAGAGGATCTTTATTTCCTCGAATTAATTTTCCTGGACCCCTTAGGACACTCATGAATGCACAGGACCGCCTCAAGGGATACCTTGGGCTGCACCACAGTCTCTGCACACCAGCACTATGCTCCCAGTGGGTAACAGTTTTAGCCATGCAGTTTTTGCACATTGACAAGAGCCTCAACTGCCTATTTTATTACCTCACACATACAAACCCCTGCATATGCACAGTGTGCAATTGTGATTCTATGAAACTGATGCAGCTGTTCTCTGGAAGCCCCAAGGGTGCTTCTAAGCCAGGGCTAGTTCAACAACAAATACAAGCTTTCATCTCCCATGTATTTCTTTTCCATAGCTGCTCAGAAGAACAAATATTGCAGGCATTTTGAACAACGTATTAAGTTGGTGATTTTAATTCCTTTACCTAAAATTGCTGACCTGGTTTCTACACTCTTTAAAAGTGAGAGAGAGAAAGAAAATAATAAAACTACTGTGTTCTGTGCTCTAAACCCACCTGTCTGTGGAGCTTTTCTTACTGTTTTGGTTTCTACAGATGTCAGTCTCTCTGTTTTGGGCCTGATTGAAAAATATTCTGGATTGGGACTTGTATAAGATTTCTCCCATGCACATTTTTCATAGTTTGCTAATGCATAAGCACTCGCAGCAGTCATTCCTTACCCCTGAGCCGTTGAATAGTCTCTTCTTCCTGTCTGGTAGTTTAATGAAGCTCATGGGTACTTTAGCTGCCTGTAAAATCTCTGTCAAACTTGAAGCCAGCCAGTGAGTTAAAAGCTGTTGGAACACATGTACACACAGGCATGCACAGCAGTGTCATGTAAGACTTGTTTACATGCTTGTGAAATGACACAGTGCTGGCCCAGGTGATGACCATGTCAGAAAATATTTGGTGATTAGAACTGAAGCCTGAGACTGCACATACCTTCTCTATGCTAAGATCTTTATTAATACTTCAACATTTATTTTCAATGTGATCATTTTCAGTCTGATTCACTGGAACCAGTGAAGAGGCCCTCCCCTATCGCAGGAACAGGAGAGGAGCTGAGGACTCTTAGTGAAGCTCTAGCTAGCTCAAGGTAAGGGAATCCAGAGCACAGACGTGGGCCAGTCAAGGCTGAAGGAATCTTTGGTTCTGCAGAGGCAGCAGTTGAATTATAGGTGAAATAATCAACTGTGCTAACAGCTTCAAAAAGACAGTTTACAATTCCTCCTTTATAGGCTTTATGTTTGTGTTTACTGAAAATGTTGTCAGTGCTGTATAAGGAATTTGATAACCCTGTCTGTGTCAATACTATATTGTTTCACTGTTCTTTATGAAGGTGCTTGTTACTTCTTTACAGTCGTTTGTGTGACACAGTGCTATGCCAGGATCTGGTAATAAAGTAGTGAAAAATGAGCAATTTTAGGACATATAATGTCCATTATGTGGTAGAAAAATCATAGTGAAAATATCTACCAATATTATAGGAACATCTGCATGGACTCAGTTGGGGATTATACCCACTGGAGGCTCAGGAAGATGCTGCCATGCAAGGAAGATATTTTCATGCCCCTTATCTGATGGGTAATGAGCTGTTAGGATGCAATGTGGATTTGTGATCCCATATATACCTTTTAACTAGCCAAGTTTGGACAGCAACTATTGTTTTATGGGGCTGACCACAGAAAGTAGCTGGGTCTAACAGGCTTAAGCAAAGTGTGCTCTGCCATTTAGGCACTTATACTCTCAAATGTGCTTAGGCCCTGTTGTCACCCATGTTTCAGCACTGGCACTGCAGGTGGTACTGCAGTTGACAAGATTGAGGCTTCAATATGTTTTTCTGTTGCAGTCAAACACTCTGATTGCACTCCAAACTTGCCTACAGAGACCATTCACTCTGTTTTCTCTGTATTAGCTTAAACAGTTGCTAAACTGAGTAATAAGCCTTGCAGCCAGTGACTCCAGGGTTTCCTAAATTTCCCTGGAACCTTCTCGCTTTCCTGATGTGAGTGTTAAGAAACGAGATTCATTTACAACTGAAACAGCAAGCAGTAGCACAGAAAGATGATTTACATCTGGCTAGGTTTAGTTACAGCCTGCTCCAAATAAAACTGAAAAATTACCACTGCCAGCCCCAGCAGGGTACAAATTGCACACGTGTTTACGGGTTTCTAGACTTTAAGTCTTTGAAGAGCATTCACTAGGTAAAACTAGTTGAATTAAAGTAAGCAGTAAGACAGACATCTATATAAAAACTTCATAATTAGGTTAAATCTAAGCAAATATAGCAGTCAAGACAATACATGATACTTTATCAGCATAATATGTTGAAGATAAATTAGGGTCTTGCATTGTTTGACTGAGATTAACTGCGTAAAAAATCAAGGAGGTTAGAGAAAAAATAGCTTCTGCTGTAGAGGAATCATAATTTCACGTTTCATAATAATATAGTGGGTTTAAATATTCCCAAATTTTTACATCAGAGCAATTTCTAAGTTTTGTACTAGTTACTTGTGATAACATTGTATTCTACATTGTTCCCTTTTATCCTTCTCTGAACCAATTTTCATTATTCTTTACTCATATTAACTTATTAATAACTAATATGTAAGTTAACTTACTGTTAATCCAGTTATAGTGAACTTCCACTTGATAAACTCTAGCCAAAATAACAAATGCTATGTACTTTGAAGGTTGGATAACCCATTTCAGTAAAGCATGACTTGGAGTTGCCCTGTTAGTTATGTTTGGCTGCCTGCATACCTTGTTCATTGCTAATTTTCAGTGGGATTGTCTCCTCGAGGTCAAGTTAAAGTTCTTTTGATGATAACCTGCCAAAGATCAGGTTACTTCTTGATATATGAGTTTCAGGTGCTTGAAGCTTGCTTTTGGTTGCTTTACATTCTTTATTTTCAAATGAGTAAGATGAAAAATACTTGCAAGTGTTCTGTAGGGCAATAATTACCATCACCATTGGTACTGAAAGGCTTGATTTGTCAAAAGATGATCAAATCAATATGTAGACATTTAGATATAGCAAACTGGACTCATTGCAATACAGCTTACAGGTTGAACAAATGAAACGTCATTTTAATAGTAGGCTAACACTTGATCTGATACTGTTGGGAAATGTGCTTTTGAAATGCCAGTAGGAGCTACATGGCCTTTTTGTGTCCCTTGGCCAGCCTAGAGATGCTTAGGACTAGCTGAGCTTTTCCACAGCATTGAAATGCTCTCCAATTCAGTAGATTGAATTTCTAATCCTGTAATTGTGGAAACCCATTATATTCAATTCTATTTTTTTTTTTTTTAAGCAATCTAGATTGTCTTCAAGACAAAGTGAAGCTGGACATGCTTTGTCCATGCCAGAAGAGGGGAGAAAAGCAGACTGCCTCTCTACACGGTCTGTCTCTGCTCCCTGTTTCTGACTATTACAGCTTTATGCTGAGTACTATCCAGGGAGGTCAGAAGTGGTGTGGGTGTGGGGAGGTGTCAAGCTGCTGTTATGAACTCTTGGCTGAGCAGCTAACTTTTTATGTAAAATATCTATAAATGTATTATGTATTACACAAAGTTTTTTACTTTCTGTAAACCACTTGACTCCTCTGCAGCTCTGTCACGTAAATTGTGATTGGGAACTAGGCAATATATCTGAACTAAGTTGTCTGCATAAATATATAGCATTTAAAGTGTGCATTTGGGTTGCTTTTGTTACTGGAAACAGAAATTAATTTTACATACAGGGCATGTTTTTTCATACCATTTTAAATTATCTTGAACATTTTTAATCTTAATACCCCTATCTTGTGCTTTTAGGGCTGTTTAATTTGATAACTCTTACAATGCCTAGCACTCAAGTACATGCAAGCATTGTTTTATTCATCTCTGCAGCGCTTCTGGGAATTAGGTGGATAAATATTATTACTCTCCTAAGTAAATTATGAAAATCAAATTGGGGATGTAAGATTAATTATCACTGGAACAGCTACAATTGGAACTTGGGTGTCTCAGGTATGGAAATTGCCTTACTTACTCTTCGAGTTCAGTGATGCCTCTGTTTCTCTGATTTTTATTTCTGAAATTGGCCTTCTGAATTAGAAGCTCCAGGGAAAGGCTTCTTCTGAGATCAAGCCCATTACTCTGGGGGAATGCAGTTGTTTTCTATAATAGATAAGTGTTTATTCCAGCCTACTTTTAACTGAAGACATTTGTGTTTCCTGCACCACATTATGATAAATGCAGATTTGCTTTCCACTGAATTTTTAATAGTAATTCAATCTGCAAAATTATGTTAAATGCAAATTTTTAATGATGTGAATACACTTGATCGTAATGTGTTTTGATGTATCTTTTCTGAGTAATTAAACCCATAGATTTTAGACATTCATCCCTCCTCCCCTCCAGAGGCCAATACAGCTAAAGGGACAAACAAAAATATGTTCCTTTATGTACTTTATCAGCAGAATTGTCAAGGCCTGATCAACTGTACCTGCAGCACACCCATAGAGGATAGCGATGTTGTGCAGTTGTTCCCAAATATCTAACTTGGCTTGCAGAATCTTTTATACCACTGATACAGAAGATGGAAAGAACCCGATTCCATTTTGATATCCCAAGCAGAGTTTGAAGTGCTGATAAGTAAGAAAATACCTACCTGTTAAATCATCTCCAACTTTGCTATCTCCTTCCAGCCTCATAAATCTAATTCAGTCGCATTCAAAACTAGCTTCATGTGATTTCAGATACCTGGGGAGAAATATTCCCAATCAGAAGTTTTCCGTGACAGTTGTGACAGATGTAAGATTAAGAAAGGGAAGACTTAATCTTGTGCTACTGCACAAATGAACGTATAGTTACTTTTTACATTTACTGAACAGTAAATGACATCTTTATACGCATTTGTTTTTTTGAAGATCAGAAGAGTAACATGGTCAGGGCTTGGTCAAAGCTGCTTAGTAGTGGTCACTTTAACATCAGTTTCTGGAAAGCACTGTTAGCTGAATAAATGCTCAACTGAAGCTTACCTGTCATGTCATGTAATACCACACATTCTTTTCATTGTAATTCCAGGAGAGAGTCTGTAACATGCCTAATAGAATTCATTCTGTTTATTGTGGCAATTAAATCAGGAATCCTACAGGTTTTGTGTTATTCAAGGAGTGAAGTATGATAGGAGCTCTAATGGCCATGGAAACTTCTGCTTGAATGAACCAGGAAAACAGACTTCTGAAATATGAACTCACTTTCTCTAATGCTTTCTGAAATGTACAGTAGCCAAATGACCCAGTATGCAGGAAAACATCCAACAGCCTGAGTAGCTGGAAATCAAAGGCAAAGGTATACACTGACAGTTGGGAGAAGAGAGGGGTTGTTATTTGAGTGGGGGTTTTGTGCGTTGTTTTTGTTGTTGCTTGATTGGTTTTTGCTTTTTAATTTTCACGTGTTGTGTAAGCCTGGAAATTCCTGGGGTGTCATTGTGCGACCTTTTAACAATGAAAATGCGTTAGTCACTCATCTCAAGTGTGTGCACAATGTTCC